CTTCTATTTAAGAAATAAAATTTCCACATAAAAAACGTAACAATCTTGGCGTGCACTTTGTTGACTATAGTAGATATAACTATAAAAGTTTTAACCCGATGACTCTCAATTCACGATACCTTACTATAATGTTACAATTTTATCAGGAGAAGCCAAGGGGGAGACTGTACTCTTACACGTCTTCCTATTATAACAAACAACCTTCCACTTAATTTAAACGATTACAATTCCCTTCAAAAATAACATTTTCATTGAAAATTAACAAATCCCAAGACAGTCAAACGTTAAACGTAGTGAGATAGCTTTCTCACTTGTTTCTAGGGCTTATATTCAGCACGTTTTATCTGAGCAAGAGAAATTATTTTAAATCAAATCATTTAATGAAGTCTACGGGACTACATTAAATTGTATGTGTATTGTAGTAGAGTGTTCTGTAAATTTTAGTTACAATAATTTCAGTAATAAAAAAAATTTCAACTTATAATTAAACGGGTAAAACTAGTAGCCTAGATACGCTACATAGATGGCCTGCTCCTATAAGAGGATTATAGAGCAATTAGTCCGCGGCGCACTAATGCATGTTGACGGGCTGCACTGTCCTCGAAATATTTGTTCCTCAGACAAGGTGCTGAAGGTTTTCTCACGACGTTTTTCTTCACCGACTATCACAGGTAAATCAGCACTTAAATTACCAATTAATGAACGCCCGCTCGTATTAAATCCAAGTTGCTCGCATACTTTGAAATTTAACAACGAGCGCTTTGCCCCTGACCTACATCATTATGAACATTTAACATTTACAACGTTACCTTTTATTGAAGGGAAAATAGTTATTTAATAAAAACTATATATCATATAGTATTTAATTAATACGTACGTCATATAATGTATCGCTTTAGCAAATAAAGGAAAAACACGTTCATTATCAGTTCTGCCGTCCAAAGAAAACACGAATACTCCCGAGAGCACGTTTACGAGAATATTGCAACCCCACAAGGATATTAGCTCTAGGCAGAATAAATGTTTATAGTTGTACGAGCGGAGATGAGTTATCATAGCGACATTTCTTTCTGGATTTTAATTTCACGTTAATAAAACGTAAACTGACTACGTAATATTTTCCTAAAAATAAGGAGTATATAATATATAACATGTATTAGAGGTGAACTGATAATGTACTAGCATTATTAACACAAATGAAGCCGAGCTTAAACGACGAGCAGGTACATGAATGTGAAAGAAGCGAGAGAGGTGAGTCAGGATCGTGCCAAATGGAAGTCTATAGTCTCTGCCTACCCCTCTGAGTAATATGTGTGAAACTTTATGTTATGAAACCTTTCATATTAACTTTTTTTATAATAATGGTCACAAACGAGCACACAGTCCACCTGATAGTAAGTAGATACTGTGACCCATAGAAAATTTCATAAAAATAAAAAATGCGTTGTCACACCTGAGGGCTACGATGAAAGGCCTAGTTTCCAGTAAAAAAGGTATCTGGTTCTCTATCCTCACCATACGAAATTCAGCAACATTAAGCTGCTATATTACGCTGGTATTTTGTGAGAGCGTCGTCCTTCCTCGGTTGAGCCGACCCATTCATGTTTTAAATATAATTTAGTTGTAGCATGGCTCTACCACATTTAAATACAGTAATAATATTACTGCCATGTTACGTATACAATATGGACACAATGAAAATTACATCACTAGATTACAATTCAATGAGTGTTAAGCTCTATGACAATTTCATCGAAATGGGGTTACTATAGATGCATAATAATCACAGTTTTTCACATCCAGACTATATTTTATGGCATATATACTTGTATAAATGTTTAAGTTTCATGTATATATAAGATAGGCATGCTTTCATATACATCTTTGTAAAGAATCCGTATCCATACATCCATCCATGTATAAACATTCGTACTGTACATAACGTAAAAGGCGACAAACGAATAATCGCCAGAATAATCATCTTGTATATATCCAGGTGTGAAATTTCCAGACTATCAACAGTATCAAAGGTGTAAGTTGTCTGGAACTAGCTATAACCACAAGTTCACTTTGTGATTCAAATCCTCACTCACTTCTGTGACATCGGGTGTGCCACAAGGATCCAATTTAGGTCATTTACTTATTATTACATTTATTAACAATCTTGTTGATAAATTAACATGTCCATGCCTGTTATATGCAGATAATCTGATGCTCTTTTCTATCATCGATATATCTAACGATGCGTTAAATCTTTAGTTGAATAGAATAGAATAGAATAATTTTGTATTCAATATTGATTATTACTTAATTCTTATTGAAAGTCATTTTCTATTTACAACTTGTTCATCTGGAATTTAGCTTCCATTCATAATTAGTGTACATTCATACATTCCTTTTATAAATATTTAATTTTCCTATATTTTCCACAAAACATTTCGCTATACTTATAGGTGTTATAAGTATTAGTGCTATAAACTTGTTACTGTTACCTAATATTATGTTTTGTGCACTTGTTTTGGAATACCGTCCAGATTGTAATTTTAATTTCCAATTATTATGTTCATGTTGTTCATGTTGTGATGTCATTCTGTTTTGTGTACCTAAATGTATAAATAAATAAATATAAATTTCATGTCTATAATTGGAATGTTTACGCACTAACAAAAATGAAGAAGAGACATAAGTGTATTGGCGTTGGGTATAGCATGTGTTGGCGTCTTAAAAATCCACCTCTAGAACTTAGTGAGCTACTGTGGTTCTTCTGTGGATGTCCTTATTACGTATTTTATATTTGCTCTTTAAGTCCACCGACAGAGGACGACGTTCAATTATGCCCATCATACAGCAATGTTTACAAAAATAGTTTTTTTGTTTAAATATTTTTCTTCCCTTTTATTAACCCATAAATTTTATGGGTTAATAAAAGGGAAGTGTAGTTCACAAAGTGAATTTGTGGTTATAGCTAGTTCCAGACATCTTACACCTTTGATACTGTTGATAGTCCGGAAATTTCACACCTGGATATATACAAGATGATTATTCTGGCGATTATTCGTTTGTCGCCTTTTACGTTATGTACAGTACGAATGTTTATACATGGATGGATGTATGGATACGGATTCTTTACAAAGATGTATATGAAAGCATGCCTATCTTATATATACATGAAACTTACACATTTATACAAAAATATATGCCATAAAATATAGTCTGGATGTGAAAAACTGTGATTATTATGCATCTATAGTAACCCCATTTCGATGAAATTGTCATAGAGCTTAACACTCATTGAATTGTAATCTAGTGATGTAATTTTCATTGTGTCCATATTGTATACGTAACATGGCAGTAATATTATTACTGTATTTATATGTGGTAGAGCCATGCTACAACTAAATTATATTTAAAACATGAATGGGTCGGGTCAACCGAGGAAGGAAGACGCTCTCACAAAATACCAGCGTAATATAGCAGTTTAATGTTGGTGAATTTCGTATGGTGAGGATAGAGAACCAGATACATTTTTTACTGGAAACTAGGCCTTTCATCGTAGCCCTCAGGTGTGACAACTTGTGTGACAACAAATATTTTTCTTCCCTTTTATTAACCCATAAAATTTATGGGTTAATAAAGGGAAGAAAAATATTTTTATAAATAATTTATAATGTCTTCAATCAACAAAAACAAAAATATTATGTACATACCATATAATATTTATTATAACTATTTCAGGAAATTTGCTAACCATTTTCATTAGCTGTTCTTAAAGAAGCATTTGTATTTATCTTCATATATTTATTTCAGAGGTTCCTCGTTTTGAAGACAGCCTGAGCAACTTAACAGTTTCAGTGGGAAGGGAAGCAATATTTACTTGTGTCGTTAATGAGCTTGGCTCATACAGGGTTCGTATACAAAATAACTTTCACTAATATATTTTAGCCGAGTGGTGGAAGCGTAATTCATCATCACATATCATATTTCATTCCGTGGGTGATGTAATAGGTGACTATGGGAGATATTAAATTCAAGAGATATGACGGGGGGGGGGGCAGTATCAAAAGCGCGCGACAAATTATAGTGGCAAATTCTTCTTTGATCGAGAGAGATCTTAAACAGTAGAGAACCGTTACGGCTTTATAAAGAAGAAGAAGAACAATGTGTTTGAGAGTATTAAAATCATAAGCAAAAAAGGCAAATATAATAATAAACCACGGCTCCGTAGCGCAGTGGTTTAGCAAATGAGTTGCAGCGCTAAGGGACGCGGGTTCGAATTCCGCACGGAACAAGTATTTGTATGGCCTATAAATAATTGTCCCGGGTCTGGATGTTCGTCTTTGTGCAATTTATGTTTGTAAACAGCCCCCGTTATGTTAAAAATAAAGATAGAAGAGAAACAAATATTAAATTATCTATAATTAGCGATCCGACTGTTTTTTATGTGTATTACCTCATAACTTTTTACTGGGTGAACCGATTTTGATGATTTTTTTTTATTTGAAAGCTGGTGCTTCACATGTAGTTCCATATAAATTTGATCAAGGTCTGACCTATAGTTTTTGAGTTATTCTTTATAATTTATATTGATGTTGGTTGTGCAAAATTTTTAATTTTAAATTATATATCAACGAATATTATTCATGACGTAAAAAAATGATCTTAGCGTTAATATATTAGCAAGTGGTTACATATTATATAATTATAAATTGCATTATAGTTGCGAATTAAATTAGTAAAAAACTGATGAAATTACATACATATTTTCCTAACGTACACTAAGTTTTGTGAAATTTAACTTTTTAATTTTTTTATTATAATTTGTAAAGGTGGCATGGCTTCGTGTGGATACACAGACGATCCTGACAATTGCAACTCATGTTATTACAAAAAATCACCGGATCGCTGTGAACCATAGCGATCGTCGAGTGTGGTTTCTTCATATACACGACGTGCGACAATCAGATCGTGGCTGGTACATGTGTCAGCTTAATACGGATCCAATGAAGAGTCAGACAGCTTATTTAGATGTCGTTGGTATGTAATCTTTTTTAACTCTCTCTTTGTCATTCACGGTAGTTCTTTTTAATGTTCCTCATCAAGCAAATCTAATAAGTAAAATGGCCTGTAAACTCTTATATAGAAATCAGGGAAATCAAAAATATTACATTTAATAAATATAATCATTAAGATATAAAACTCCACTAAAAATTATTTATTACAATTGTTATTTCCAAACTCAATAATCACGAATCTGTATTATTCGTAAGTCTTTGAAAATTAACTTAAATTAATTTTAATTAACTTATATTTGCTTACAAAATTTATTAAAGTGGAAGTAAAATTAAAATATACTACTCGTATTTCTGATAGGCTTATATTAAGCAATAAACGCAAATTTAAAGCTTTTATATTTTTTCACAAACATTTTATAGAACAGTAACAATTAATCTTATAAGATATTTGATTTATAATATCAAACTTTATTCATGTTTGATATTCCATTTATAACAAAAAACACCACTGATATATAACATATCTTATTTTTCATTTCAGTTTATTTGTAAATAAATAATCACCACTTAAATATGTGTTTGTATTTCTTTCTTCTCTCTGTTTATTCATTAACGTTGGTATTGGTTTCATTTGGATTTTTCTATTTTGCTTTTTATTATATATATATATATATATATATATATATATATATTTAATTCCCTTTCTTACAATTGTACAAGTGGCGACTGTTTAAAATGTATGCCGGTCGCCCTGCTATGCCGCACGCCCTGTCGCCAGCTCTCCACTTGAGCCATAAAGTTGTGGCCCACTACAACGACTCATACTACAATTCTGCTCTAAAGTATGAACGCATCAGGCATTAAAACAAGGCAGTCCCTACAACGCCTACGAGAACTTATCAACAACGTATCAAACCTGTAAACAACGCGTTCAGTGACCGTATCGTCTCCGTCCAATACGCGTACCACTATGATGCTTGTTTTGTCGGTTGCAGCTATTTTTTTTTCCAGAAAGACTCATCAAGAGCATCTTTGTGTAGTAGCTGTTAAAAAAAAATTAGGTCCATTAAAATTTAAATATTATTACGGCGTTCGCATCAAACGTTATAGTCAGCCGCCGACTGTAAGTGGGTCCATTGTGAGCCCTAGTGAGTGTGAACTCAAAGTCAGACTTCATTTTTTGACTTCATTTTACAATATGCTGACATTACAAGTCATAAAGAGTCAACATAAGGCTCTGTCTTTTAGTTTAACATATTTCAAATACATTCTCGCGACTGTATTTCTACAATGTATTTTTCATTATCGAACAAAATGAAACACATACGTCTGTATCCTTGCAGTCTTTGAAATAAATACGAATCGAGTCCGCTGGCGTTGGAACTCAATTTGCTTTTAGGTTCAGCTACGTAGTCAATCAGTGTTCGTGGCGCGAAGTGGCGTAGGTTATTAAGGGTCAGCGTACGAGAGTAGATTACGCAATCGGGCAATAACGTATTGTCGGTTCGGTGTGAACGAAAAGTTAAAAATGTATGGAAAAGCAGTAAACTGCGTAACGCTGGCATACAGTCGGCGGCTGACAATACGTTTGATATTAAGGCGGCGTAAGACAAACAATAGTTGAAATTTTATATGAGTATTGCATTTGAATATCAGATATTGAATTTATATATATTTCAATTAGTATCGTTTGATATTCTACGTAATTCTGTAAGGAAATCAATACTAAGTACTTCACGGTAATACGTCATTTTTTATACGATTTATAGAGATATTTTTACGTGGTAGAGCCACGCTGCAGCTATATTAGTAGTATATTTGTAGCACGAATGGGTCGGCTCGACCGGGGAAGGACCACGCTCTCACAGAATACCAGCGTCAAATAGCAGTTTAACACTGCTGTGTTTCGTATGGTGAGTGTAGAGAACCGCAGACCCTGTTTACTGGAAAAGAGGCATTCCATCTTAGTCCTCACGAGTGACAACGCATCTGCGTTTTGATTCGCAAACGAAGATAAATGTAGATGTCCATGGGCCACAGCATCCACTTACCATCAGGTGGACTGTGTGCTCGTTTGTCACTCGATCCTATAAAAAAAATATATAATAACTGTAGTATCTAGTAACTTTAAGTATTTTAATACTGTTTTTACTTGAATATAATATCTGTAATTATTTTTGGCGCTCATGGTTTGTCCGGAATTCGAATCACTGCATCATAGATATTTTAATTTTTTTATTATTTCTTCCATTTCGTTCTGTAAAGAGACGCTGTACTGCAGTGTGTATACATATACAATATACATAGTTAGTCTGTCGGTGGGCATACACAGTTAGTCGCCTGTGCAAAGCGTATGATCTTGGTTGGTGACAGAACGGACTAGTGGACGGATGTTATTAATTTTTACAATAAAATTTTGCATGCAGCAAAACGGTAACGGTTATGGTATAGAACGTTGTAGTGGGTATTTCCGCCGATCATCATACCATCGTCTTAGTGAACGTAATCACTAATCATTATGGATGCCACGAGAGACGCCACTTAGTCCCCATTCTCCCGTCCACAGGGGCTTGGCAGATCAGCATTGTGCCGATTGCTGTTGCACTGGTGGCCGCTGGATGTTAGGGGAAATTGGTATTTTGCAACTAGGCACATGGCCGCGACCACCCCAGGGCTCGGCAGCAGCCCAGAAGTCCCACAGGACTCCGGGCGCTCACACTGGGTCTCCCGCCCCAATCCCGGTCATCTGACTGAACCTTGTCCAGTTCATGTGCGAACCGCGCAATACCACCACCGGTATAGCTCGGAACAGACTCTCTTTCAGCCCAAGGAGTCTCTTCAACTCCTTATAGGAGGAGTGACTCCAAACACCTCGCCAGGAGATCGTACAAGAGGTCGCGCGGACACAATCCTTGCTAGGTAGTCCTAGTATACCTGCAACCTTCTCGACTAGCTCCTCGTGAGTCCCGTATTTACTACGTTTCTCACGGTGAGCATCATCGAGAGGCCGCTGGCCCGAGACCACCTGCACGTCCACGATCACTCCGACGCCCCCTTTAGCGGCTACTATGTCGGGCTTCCGAAGGCCTTTCGAGGTCTTGACATGTGGCTCCGTCACCACCGACCATTGGTCTGAAGCCATCGCGTCTGCTACTAGCTTCACAACACGATCGTGGCGTAAGATCCGGCCCCCGTGCGTCCGCCAACACTGCTGGATGGTGTGAGCCGTCGTTTCCCTAACCACGCACCCGGCGCGGCAGTTCAACTCCGCCTCACGACCAATCCTGCGCCCTCTGGATGTCCGAACCCGTGACGGGAGGGCATTGATGTGCGTGTGGACGAACTGCACGAAGTCCCGACCAGAGACATGTGAAGACTCCTCCCGAATCCACTTCGTGGACGCGGGAGTGCGGGCGGATCCGCGTAACTCGAACCCGTCCACTGAGCTCCACAGTCTCTCGCGCCAAAACCGTGAGACGGACCTAAGGCCCGTGACCGGATCCTCTCTGGTGAACTTTCGGAATTGCTTGTCGGCCCAGCTCAACTTCTTACGGATCCTTTCGGATCTGGCGGCGGCCTTTGCCACTGACCAACTCGACGAGTCGAGCCGCCCGAACCTCTTAAGTATGAGGTCCGGGACGGTCGCCCGAAGCGATGGGATCGCTAGGCCGCCGTCCTTGATGTCGGCATGGAAGTACCCGACAGGCACGTCCTTCGGGAGCCTCAGCCAAGTCCTAACCGCACCCCGGATCTGGACGTCGAGCATACACAACCTATCATCCGAGATATTACCTAGCACAAGGCCATGCAAAAATCTCGGAATAAGGTGTCCCCTCACAATTTCGAGCCGCTGCTGCGGCTTAAGGGGTGCCTTTGAGATGTTGGTCAAGGCAACTTTGATATTATGCTCTAATATATATAGCTCCAACGTTCCACGCAAGAGGTTTGAGGCAGCCACTTCCGACCTATCCGGAAATTCTTCCCGGTCAGATAGTGGTGCTTCTTGCGCTTCCCGTCAGGCACCATCGACAAGACGGAGCTCTTGGTATGATTGACCAAGAGGCCCATCGACGACGCAACCTCGAACACACGGTCGATGGATTCCTGCATCCCTACCTTTGAGCCTGCAAGCAGGACTAGGTCATCGGCATAGGCTAGAGCCGAGACTCGCTCCATCTCTAGCCTATAGCCTACCTCTTTCGGTAGAGCAGCAAGAATTACGTCCATCGCCATGTTGAACAGGATGGGCGACAACGGGTCTCCCTGACGCACACCTCGGCCCAATCTAACAGGTTCACCCGACTGTCCGCCGACGTCCAACTTGGTGGTCGCCGCGTCGTACAGCCGGTGGATGTAATCACAGAATGCCACGGGCAACCCTCGAGCCCGAAGAAGCCCGACCAGCGCTCTATGAGACACCGTGTCGAACGCCTTCGCGAAATCGAGAATAGCCACATGACACTCTCTTAACTTTTTCCTGCTATCCCCTAGCACCGCGTCCAGCACGGCGGAATTCTCCAACGTGCCGTCGGCGCGGACGAATCCACGCTGTCATGCATCGGGGGGGCAGCAATCCAGAAGCCTTCTCGCCAGGATCGCCAGGATCGAGTGCATGTGCCTAAGCGGTATCGAGGCGATCGAAATCGGTCGATAGTCGCCCGGCCCAGCAGGATCATCCATCTTCGGCACGAAGACTGTCCGGCATTGCCGCAGGGGCTCTGGTACTACGCCAGTGGTCATCCAAGAGTTGAAAATTTCCGCTTTTCGGGCCGCAGGAACTAGGCGCCACTCATCCGGACGGATACCGTCCGGACCAGGCGCTGTCTGCCAGTCAAACTTGGACGCCTTCACTTCGTCGGTCGTGAAAGGCACCCACAGCCGAGAGTAATCGCGTGCGCCCCCATACTGCTCCTCCCGCCATAAGGCGTTTAGAGCAGACGGTGTAGGCCCTGAGGCATCAGACACCCTCTCTAGGACTGGTCGCCAATAGGCTTCCAAATCTTCGAGAGAGTGCCGGACGCTCCTGTGCACTCCATCGATCACCTCGGCTGCTGCTCGACTGCGACACTTCTGGAATAGTTCCTGTACCCTGGCGTACTCTATTCTCCTCCTCTTGCGGCTCGACAAACCGGCCAGTGCGGTGTCGGCCCGAGTCACGTTCGGTATGCGGTGCCGCCTCGCACTACGGGAACCCAGGCCGTGTCGCGACCTCCTCACCGCGGCCCTCGCTAGAAGATCCGCGACAATTTGGTCTGCATACGTGTTATCTGGGGCACCACCTAAGTGCGGTGATGGATCATCGGCGACAGGCGGTGCGTCTTCAGCTGGCAGAGGCTGGACCGGCATCTCGACACTTTCAGATTCCGGCCGTGTCGAACCCCTGTTCTCTGGCGCTTGGCTGCTTATTGGTGGGGATCTGTACTCTTCCCGGCACGCTTGTACCAGGATTTTATACTCCCCACAGCGCCTCTTTCCTTTGATTGCCTCTAGGGTCCGCTCGGACCCCGACAGGCTTTTGTACAGGTCTGCGTTCGTACATCGTCCGGTCTCCTCTAGTAATCGCGCCTCTGTACGCGCCATCAGTGCCAGCTCCTCATCGCGCCACCTGCGCTTCACCATATTTGGAGCGGCCTCCGCATTTGCTACTTCGGGGTGGGCCCTACGCTTGTGGACCCCCAACCCCGTTTTGGTGGTGAACGCACGTCCACACACCGGACAAGTCCATTCAGTGACCGCGGAAACTGTGGCCGGAGCCCCAGTTTGAGCGGCCGAAGATTGGGCCAAGCTCCCCGGCTCCTGTGGGAGGCCAGGGTGGCAAAATAATCGATTTCCTCTTATTCTGTCCATTGCTTGTTGTTATGCCCAATGTGGCCGGGGTGCAAGCCCAGCCACCTGGTTCGCCTACCGCATCTCGTATCGTATTTAGGGTTAGGTCTCAGTAGAGCGTTTGGCGGGACGTGCGGCGTGGTGTCATAAAGACCACACGATGTTACCACACGATAAGAGTTGCATGAGTAATGCCCGCCCGAGATATGGGAAACACGCTCTCCAAAACGATTGTAAGCCTCAGTTGACCTTAACAATTTATTTTACAAATTTGCATGCTCAAAATGACAGTATACTCGTAATTAAACAAAAACCATCACGTTGTTCTTCAAGTGTCGTCAGTTCTATTAAGATTAATATGAGACCACTACAAGGACTCTATCAGTAAATAAAAACCTTACTGGCACACTTTTAAGGTCGACGCATACTTGATATTCGATCTAGAACTTATTACATAAGAAAAAGCGTGGCTATTAAAAAATCCAAAGCCATCTAATAAGTGAACCTCAGTATTATTTGAGTGAGACAGACATAATTCAATTTGGGTATCTTAATGAGGATAATCAGAAATAATTACTATTTGAGTAAATAAGTAATCTATCTATCTAATATTCAAAATATATTGTAAGCAAAACGCATGCGCCTTTGTCTTTGGAACCCTAATTAAAAATTGGAGTCTAGATTTTATTTATTTTTAATCAGTATATAAATGCTTCAAAATAGAAAAAATATATAAATATAAATAATAGCTTATGCTAAACTCTTATTTTGCACGAGTTTAGTAAAACTTAAAATATCTTTTAGAACAATAAATGTGGTAGGCACAAAGGGATTAAATGGATAGGTAAAGAGATCGCCCTGCTTCAAATGATCATCTACCTTTATTCTTTTTATCTGTTTAGTTCCTCCTGATATTCTGGACTACCCAACGAGTAGTGATCAGGTGGCAAGAGAAGGAGCAAACATAACCTTGCGATGTGCTGCTCATGGTGTACCCACACCGAACGTAGTTTGGAGAAGAGAATCCGGTGATTTACTACCTACAACCAAGTTTAGTGACTTGCAAAGTAAGTAAATTATTTTATCTACTTTATTTATTAGTTCTAAACAAAAATAAAGATCATAAACATTTGGTTATGTTTTTGTATTAATTAAGATACATAACAATACCTTATTATCAAACTTTTCAAACTTTTATTATTAGATATTACACATTTTTCTAAAAACTTATGTGAACATTATTTTTCGCTGATGATACCTCTATAGTGTTTAAAATTGATAAAGGTAAAAATTCATTTGACGAGGTATAGATGTTGTATCTCAAGTATATACATATATACACGTCAATTACTGCGCTCCTAGCCGCTAATAAATGTTTAATTTTCGAATTTTATATTTCTTTTCAACATAAATTCATATATTGAGAAGAAAAGAAAAGAAGCGTAGGCAAAAAAATATTGCGATTTTATCTCACAAAAAGGGGCCCGTCTTCACGATCCCTTTTGATGATTAAAAGACAGTTAATGTTGAGTATTATAAGACCATTTGTTTGCCCAGTGTCTTTGCGCATCTTATTACACCAAAACAATGCTACGGGGTACGTACATCGCGAATTACACAAAGTTGTTTTGTCTTCTGAATAGGTGGAGCTCGTGACCCATCACGTACGGTCCAGACCTCGCACCACGCGATTTCTTTATTTTCCTAAAAATCTATGATTTGATGAGAGGTTAGACATCTACGAAACGAGAAGAGTCAGTAGCCTAATGGCAGGGTGCGGACCGAGAACTAGAAAGGTCGTGGGTCCGAATCCGCCATTCGACTACTGTCGTGAACCACTACTAACACAAGCATTTTAAGCTTACCAGAAGTGGTTAAAGGGAATATTAGTAATGTTTAATAGCATTACTAGTATTTTTTTTTAAATAAAAAAATTGCTTTCAAACAACAAGTGATAAACAGGCATAGTTTGAAAAAAATTTATTGAAAATACTTTGAAATGCAATTAGTATATTAGTTTAAATTTAAAATGTTTTATTTATGAGTTCCACAAAACTTTCAGTATACTACTGGTTTACAACATATAATAATTAGCTTTTAATATCAAAAACTTAAAAACCTTTAATTTTCTTTACCAAATGTAGGGCTTGTTACTAATCATATTATATTTAACGATAAAATACTATAGTTAGAAGATTCGACAGCCTTTCTTGGTATCACAATTGGCTCTCGTCTACAATGGGGATCTCATATTGAGGCCTTATCTAGAAGGCTTAGAAGATTTAGTTATGTATGCAATAGAAAAGGTACAACTGTTAACAAAGGTTTATTTCAGCTATTTCCACAGTGTTACGTCCTATGAATTATTATTGTGGGGATTAGCAACTGATATTGAAAATATATGTATATTTCAAATTCGAAAGAAATTCTCTTAAGGAAAATTCAATTACTTACTTTGATTATACAATGCGCAATGTGTGCAGCTCGCCAATTGACTTTCACCAATAGAGAGAGGGACATAAACAATTTTCATCGACGTACTTGGGTGTCATAAGAGGCGACAGTGGGAAATGAAACAGAAGATGGGTGCAGGATCTTCCTGATAACTGAAAAAACGGCAATTTGTGAGGAGGCCTGCGAACAGCAGTGGATTTTCATGGGCTGAATGGATGGTTAAAATCGCTTTACACAACATTTTACAAAAGCGCAGTTAGCAATATATCGTGAGTGTAGCAAGTTTTAGTTTCAGTAAGGCTATATTTTAATTTCAGCATAGTTATGTGGAGTGACGACCTGGTAAGACATGCAGGAAGTTAATGGACGCAAGTGGCTCAGGACCGTGTTTGTGGCGTTTCTTGGGGGAGATTTATGTTCAGCAGTGGACTTGTGAAAGACTGTAATGATGATTATAATGATAGTTATGTGATTCTTTATTATTTGAAAGTGTACGTTTTAACGTACTGCTATGAAGATACAAAGATAATGAAATAACAATTTAGAGTTTGGCGATCACAGCATGCTTCTCATATATACTGTTTCTGAACATATGTCTAACTAAAATCATTATCATGATCGTGATTCTAATATTCCTTTCAGTTGATTAATGTGATAACGAAACAGATAAAAAGATTACCTATACATATGAAAATACAATTTATTTTTGTCTTTTTTCCGTAGATCATTCAATAAGTGGTTGTGAACTACAATTGATTAAAATATCACGCTTACATATGGGTGCATACTTGTGCATAGCCAGTAATGGAGTCCCTCCGTCTGTAAGCAAACGAGTTACGTTAGTCGTACATTGTAAGTATATTTTTAAACTTAACTAAAAAGGGAAAATAAAAGACTATAAATGCCCTGTGGGAAATTCAGGTATACACTTATTATTAAGGTGGTAATGGAGCGTAAAGGTTTCACCACGCTACGCTAGCGTGTGTTGGCGGAATTCAGGTGATCTCAAAATATGTTTATTATTTATATTATATTTTTATTTACTAACTACTAAAACCTGTTAAACAAACACTTAAAAATGCTATTAAAATTTGCAGGCATAAGTAGTTAGTTAGTTTTGGTTTTGGTGATGGATTCCTACTTCTCCTCTTCTTCTCCCTTTTTATAAAAATAATATTAACATAAAACCAAATAATATTATACTCGTAAGTATTGACAGGACCGTTCTAATAATAATCGATGTAGTCGAATGTTGAAGTCGATGGTATTTAAATATCAAAAGTGATATCATAGCTCATAGCTACAGTTTTGCTGACTACTTCCTAAGAACTAACATAATTTATAAAATTAAAATAAGTCATTTTATATCACTAGAAGATAAATATGTAATATAAGATATTTTTTTACTTTTAATATAAATTAAATGCCAAATGCGATGGATCGGTAGTAAAACATAGTATATAAGAGTTTTAAAGCTCATGAAGCAATTACGCATAAATTATTTTATACTTTTTAGTTTTTTGAAGATGGCGCTTACTTTTTAAAGTCTAATTTTTTGATCCTTTTGACTGGAATAAGGAATATCAAAAGCTTGTCGTCTATATAAATACAATTAAAATTCCATCCTATATTTTTCTATCTTTAAAAGTGGAATTTTTTCCTCAAATGTATATAGGACTGTCCCTAAAGTACAACCTATTATATAAAAAAGAATCATTAAAATCGGTCTACAATTGACAAAGATATCTAATAACATACATACATTAAACACACATACAAAAAAATTGGAATTTTTTTTTGAAATGGGCTAAAAAATTAACATGCATTCATCATGAGCTGTGATAATCCATCTAGTCATAAAGATTTCTTATATGCACGTGAACACCACATATTGAATTAAACTTCTTATACGAGTACGTAAACGTGTGCAGTTAAAATAAGAAGTATACGTCATAAAATCAGTAAAAGCAGTTTTATTCAAGGCAGACAATAAATTATGGTTTTGTGATCGGTTATTAATACGTTTGCATAACTTCATTAGATTCAGACTTCTGGAAATGGATAAAAACTGAATTATAAAATTCCATTACATTCTTACATACATAATATGTAGATGCATACAGTTCAAGCTAATATAAAACGTGATTAGTGTATTTTAAATAATGTAAATCTTTAATGCTGTTATTGTTTTCAGTTCCGCCTATAATGACAATACAAAATCAGCTGATAGGAGCACTGCATGGTGATTCGGTAACATTAGAATGCCATTCAGAAGCATTTCCTAAATCTATTAATTATTGGACTATTAATGGCCATATCATATCCCAATGTTAGTATTACAAACGCTTTAAAATTGAACTAAGGTCAGAACTATACATAGAAAAATATAAATCTATTCAATTTCTTTCACAGCGGATACTAGATTCGATATTATTGCTATTGAAAAAGGTTATGAAGTAATTATGAAATTGAAAATCAAGAAAGTGAGTAGAGGAAACTTTGGTACATATACTTGCATTTCGAAAAATTCTCTTGGAGACACCGATGGTACTATAAAGTTATATTGTAAGTATTTAGAATCAAAACCATGTTTTACGAATAACAAACTATAATGATAATAGTCAATATCTATTTATTATTTTTATAAAGGTATAATTAGTATTCTATATCAATATTTTAAAGGATTTATTGTGATGCTTACTTGCACAAATTGTGTTTGTCCAATAAAAGTCATACCTGTGACCAATTTTTACATAATTTTCACCAAACAAATCATTTAATGCTAATTTTAATATCACACAAATTTAACTATAAATTAAATTATTAGTTATAATCTGATCTAACTATGTAATAATATTTTCTAAAAATTTTTCGGTTTTATTTAAGTTAGTATTTATTATAATTGTTGAAAAATTTTAGACTTAGTTAAATTTATAGACATGTCGTTGAAGTAATACTGTTTCACCAAATTTCAGGAATGCATATATTAGGTGAATATTGTGCACGCCTATAATTGTTTTTGTCATAAAGAACATGTCTTTTAAGAATTTGTTTTGTACTACCCGTGCGGTTAAAGAATGGGATTGAAAATGGCGTCGCCTCTATTCACCTCTCGCTTGCACACTGTTGCTATATACTTTAATTTTATATGGGTATAGACTCACACCCACCGGTAAAGACTGCAAAAAAGTACGTTGCGATATGCCTTTTTCGTACGTTCTATAACTTCAGTCAGTTCCCAGGACAGAGGGTTTTTTTCGAACCAGTGGTAAAGTAAAAAATGACTTTCAATAAGAATTACACATGTAATGTATATTGAATAAAAAATATTCTATTCTATTCTATTCTAAAAGTCCAACTTGTCATTGGAATCAATGATAGCGAAATGCATAACGCATAAACTGCAACAAAGTCTTGTCCGGTTTTGCTAATTTGTGAGCTACGACGCGTTTTGAGAGTTTTCTTCATAATTATTATTGATGTTGCTTGTTTATATTTTTTGTATAAAATATTTACACGCCAATGAGACATGAGTAACCATTTTTTAAATTTTCGAATGTCTGAACCGATTGAAATAAAACTTCACGAATAAACCAGGAGTTATCAAGACTAAAATTTATCTATATATAAAATTATGTTATTAAAATAGAAATATTAATAAGATAAAGTAAATGGTCTTTAATGATTATCTTAAGTCTAAATAACGCCACATTGGTCGATCCCACCCGGACGAACTCAAAACGGGTATAAATGTTATTTTTGAAAATAATTGTATAAAATTAATGTATACAATTATTTTCAAATATTTTCCCTATAATAGAAAATTTCCTATTAACCGCACAATATAACAATATACCGTTATTAGCGGGTGTACGCTATTGATACAGTGCATGTTGACGGTACGGGCTCGATGAGCTGCCATTTTTAATCCCATTCTTTATCCGTACGGACTGAACGAATGATATATAACATATTTATTGTTACCTGTGCACCTTTATTAAATAAATAAACTCATCTTCTATATAAAAATATATATATTATTACAGCTATTTCTGGTCAGTTTGAAGATAAACAGTACAGTGATCTAAATGTTCTCGAGGAGAACCCAGACGTGAGTGAACTTGAAGCCCTCAAACGAAGCCTTGCGCCTGAATCTGTGCTAATAAATTTTGTCTTATTATTACCGGCACTTGTGATACTAGCCGAAATTTATATGTAATTTGTATATAAAGAAATATATTGTTACATTTATCTTTCTAATTTGTTTTATTCATTATTAATTTGTGATTACTATAATTTATTGTTGGTGTGCTACGTGAATTCTCTCCTAGCCCTCTAAGAAATAAGAGTTAGACAACGTCCAATAGCGACATCTATAGGTAAAACGCAGAATGAAGAATAAATGGAAATTTAAAAAACAATATTTGTCTAAACATTAAAATATATTTTTTTTTTTAAATTAAAAGCTCTAAGCTGTTTTATCATTTAATTGCATTGTGTGTTTAAATTAATGATGTAGTGCATAATATTTCTGCATTACAAAGAATAAAAAATAGATAGATAAATAAATAAATATTTAAACGAATAGAGATATTAAACCCAATGAAGTAACACTTATATTTTTTACAAAAAAAAATTGAATTTTGTAATGAACAATATCATTTATATCTTCTTCGACATTATCATAACGTTCCGCAACTTTGACGACTGCGGCTCATTGCCAGTCTGAGTGTTTTACGTCTAGTTAGCGTAAATCAGATAGTTATTTCGCCATTTACTGGATGCCATACGATTTTCCGGTATTTCCCAAAGTCGCCTCTTACAACTTCCACGCGCAAATTGAGGATAGAGTCTCTAAAGTCGTCAGCACACATAGACATAAGGAAAGTATAAATATTATCTTCATTGTAGTTAGGATTGTTAGGTTAGGTAGGTTAGATCTTTAGTAGGAATCATGATTGCAAGAAAATGGCTGTGACTATTTCTACAATGTACGAGTATCCTTCATTAAAAAATGTTATAAGACGTTTACCATTTTTTTTTTACTTTTTATAAGCCAAAGCTTGACCACAATCTCACCTGGTAATTAAGTGGTAATGCAGCCCTAGATAATAAATCGTAAGGCAATAAATTCTATATTTTAATAAAAACAGCGTCCAAAATACGTATAATGTCTAATATGTATATGTTCATTAATTGAGATTGAAAGATCAAAAAATGTATAAAAAAAGAAACCCATATTGGTAATGAATAACCGCACGTTGCTCAGACCGCACGTTGTATAATATGGACGAGCTATATCAAAGCTCTTTGCTTTCTCTTTAAGCTTTCATGATATTAATTTAGTTTGCTGAAATATATGTTATACAAAAAAACTGTAGCTTTCAGCTAGATTTTTTTTATAGAATAAGGGTGACGAACTAGCACACAGTCCACCTGATGGTAAGTGGTAGCTGTGGCCCATAGACATCTACATCTATCCTCGATTACGAATCAAAATGCAGATGCGTTGTCAACCGTGAGGATTTAGATGGAATGCCTCATTTCCAGTAAAAAGGGTCTCCGGTTCTCTTCACTCACCATTATGCTGCTATTTTAGGCTGGTATTCTGTGAGAGCGTGGTCCTTCCCCGGTCGAGTCGACCCATTCATGCTGCAACTATACAACTAATATAGCTGCAGTATGACTCTTCCACGTAAATATAGCTGCAGGATGGCTCTACTACGTAATATAGCTGCAACATGGCTTTACCACGTAATTTATAATTTGATTACAATTTCATGATTTTTAATTATCTAAAATAACTTTCTCTGAAAGTTTCTGTTCGCTGAGAAGAATACGATATGTGCAAAATAACTCAATTGAATTATGAAAATAAAAGTACTTGTAACCTGGGAGGTTTACACTAAAAACTTCACAGTAATAATAATAATGTCCTCCAGACCGAATTTCGGCCACGGCGGCCAGTCTCAACGGAGACTAGCCATCGGCGCAGGACAGGATTATAGTGCCCAAGTGTATGCGCAAGCACAGGTGCACTCTCTATTCCCTCACTCTCTATTCCCTCACTCTCTATTCCCTCACTCTCATAGCCCGATGGGACGGTAAACCGACACGACCGGAGAGAGATCAGGCGCAGGACCAACTTCCTGACTCCGGGCAGCTACTGAGAATTTCTTTATAGAAAAACTCAATAACTTATTTTTTGGCCCGACTCGGGATTCGAACCCGGGACCTCACGATCAGCAGTCGCACTACTACAACCACTAGACCAAAGAGGCAGTCAAAAAACTTCACAGTAAGAAGTGACAAAAACTAGGAAACCTGGATTATGAAATAGGAAAACAGTAATAAATAAAATAAAAAACATTGCGGGGACCACCGCCACGTGTGCCTAAAAATGACCTCAGGATACTTTAGTAAGAGCGTATGTTTTATATAAGTTGAACGATTTGCCTCGCTGCAAGCTCAGACAGAGCAGTCACGCAGGCCAAACTTCAGATCAGGGCAAAGGCTTTCAGTTTCCCCACTGCAATACAATGGATATAAATAACACGCAAGAGAAGCTGAGAACAATAGCAATAGTACCCTCCTTAACTGATTCTAAGGTTTTTGAAGCTATCAAGAGTCTAGGAGACCTACTCAAGACGCTCTCTCATCTTTTCTTACCAAGCCTAACCCTAGGCTATAAAATAGTATTAAAACATTATATAGTAATTTTATAAAAAATTACTAGCGCCTTTAATGAACTTGCCTCCAATGATGCAATAAAACTATCTCATCGGTGTAAGTCATATAAAACTCGACTACTAACCTTGACGCATCAATTTATTTTTCTGCTATGAGTTAAATATAAGAGAGACAAGAATGCCTCCCAAGCAATACACTCTTACGCGTAAGTTTAAAAGCATTAGCTTTTGAGTACAGATCACCCCCGATAAAAGGTCTGGCGGGCCTTGCGATTACGAGAGAACGTATTCGCATGATATTTTAGATTCCTTAAGATTTATATAAAAATGAAAAATAAAAATACCAGATTTTAAAACTAGGATAAACAATTTTAGATTTGTCTGCGGGTATTAAAATCTATTGATAGCAGGCTATAAAACTTAAAATAAGTAACCCTGTTCATGATCTTACCTTAAATCTCATAATACTGCGTATATCATTAAGCTTTCTGATAATATTATTATAGTGTACAATCTTGCATCTTTATAATTTTCTTCAATACAGTATCATTCCTTGTAATTGTAACTGTATTTAACTGTAATCTTATTATGTTCTGGCCTGCTGACACCATAATAATTATAAAGTTAATGTCAATTGCTGAACTTTACCATAACTGTGCCATTCCTAAATGTTATACGAAATGAACCGTATAAGAAACCTGGAATATGAAATTATACTTTGTACATTACTTAAAAGACTTTCACGTACGTGCTTTCAACTTTTTGTATTTAATAATGAGATGTGCATCTCATTATTAAATCATCTTTATAAACCAGAAACTGGTATTGAAAATTTAATTTAATTTGAATTTTAATGAAAATATGCTCAGGCTATGCTAGAAACGAGTTGGTGGCCTTGACATCCACAAGGTTTATAGCGTAGTGCTATTACGTACAAGTTACTTACGTGTCATCATCTCATAGCAAGTCTGCGGGGCTAGCCAAGATGACTCTCTACAATTGATAACGATATAGAAAACTATAAAAATGAATGAAATCAACACAAAGACACGTGACTGTCTGTGTGTGAATGTACGTAAAACTGTGAACATAATTAAAGAAAAATTAATGACATATTTTGTGAATTATAATATGTCATTCATACTTCTAGGTAATACAGCCGACCTCATTGATAAAATTATTAACCAATGACTCGGTGATAGAGAGACCGGGCTGAACGAAGTCTTTTCGGTAAACCCAGTTTTTCAGAGGCAGTGGGATGACCCGCTTTGTAACCAAGTTTGGAAAGAGTTGTTAGATAACTGCGAATCCTTACAGAGCGGGCTCATCTTCTTAGGTGGAGCGAAAAGAGAAGTATAAATATTTTAATGTTAATTTAGCAAGCTATTTTGCTACTTTCAAAGTTTTACATTGCTGGGATTTGTTAATTATTCCAGGCAAGCCAGTATCCCTCGCTTTAAGCACATAGGGGTTCTCTGCTAAACTTCTGCCGGTCTATACTGCCTCCGCTGGTAAAACCAATAAGCGCATGCGGCTAAAAAAATAGCGGACTCGTATGCTTCTCCTTTTGCAACAGCGTACCACCTCAATTACCTCACTGTGGCGCGTTTATATCAGAGGTTTGCAACACCAACAAGGAGGTTCTCAAAACCTGGCAGAGATTAGACGTGAACAAAGCTAAGTCAAGTTCTAAAAGCTTGTGTATGTAATAATTTAGAACTGGAATTGTGTCTTTGTGTCTAAATCTTATAAATTAGCCAATGTGCATCATGTGTCTATAAAGAGGAAGCCGTGCCGACCTGCCAACTGACGTCCAATTTTAATTACCTCCCACACTCTGTAAAACTATGGGGCATATATTGAATGCCCACCTCATTAGGTACCTTAAGCAGAATGACCTGCTTAGTGTCCGCCAGCACAGAATTGACTAACTGGAGACATATCCGTTTTCTCCACAACTCTTTTCCTGCTGCATACAGATGACAGGCCAGTTGTGGAGAGATATCAGCTGAATGCTCGGGCCAGTCAGGATCTAATCCATTACGATAGAGAAGCTATGGTTGAGCGTGTGACGTCAATTTTATGTGATTCTTTTGTTACGTGGTAGAGCCATGCTGCAGCTATATTAGTAATATAGTTGTAGCACGAATGGGTCGGCTCGACCGGGGAAGGACCACGTTCCCACAGAATACCAGCGTAAAATAGCAGCTTCATGCTGCTGTGTTTCGTATGGTGAGTGTAGAGAACCGGAGACCCTTTTTACTGGAAAAGAAGCTTTCCATATTAGTTCTTACGGGTGACAACGCATCTGCATTTTTATTCGCAAACGAGGATAAATGTAGATGTCTATGGGTCACAGCAACCACTTACCATCAGGTGGACTGTGTTCTCGTTTGTCACCCTATCCTATAAAAAAAATTCAATGTTTCCAAAATACAAGCGTGTCTTTTAGCATTTACGAAGCCTGTTCACTCTGACTCCTGCTTTCCGGAATGTATCTTATACACTGACCGACTTGAGTTGAGATATC